GCATACATAACATGCATCATTTATACAGTGTATGCATGCATATGCCAGATATTATGCATAAACATGCAATCAAAAATATATGAGATACGGTAGACAATGTCACGATAAACATGAGCACCTGTTCAACCATAAATAGCCTGATAGAATATGGATAAGGGTTATCAACAGACATCACAAAAATAATAATCATAGCAAACAACTATAACATATGAACCGAGAACAATGAATCCACGTGTTTGCATTGGGCTTGGGGCCTTGAAAGTTGATCGTCCTCGAGTCGGCACCTTTTTGTTCGCTGGTGAAAGAATGCCTCTGTCCTGGATCAGCAGGAGCGAGTGCATCAGAAGATTTTGTACACTCCGGGTATGATCTCGAATGAAGTGTTTCAAAGGTAATAAGATTCGTAAACAATTGAACTGGAAAGTGTGGGTTACTTTGTTTTTGATGTGCTAATTTGATCAGTGATGAATGACTAGAAAGGCTGAGATGTGAGTCATCACCACCCCTCATGCTAAGTGTGTGACCGGTTACAAAGTATCACAATGTTTGAAACGATACATGCATGTATATGATAGATCCCATAGAACAGGTCCTGGCACTTGAGCAAGACAATGTTCTTCAGAACCTTCATCTTCTCATGTCCTTTCCTGGCATTGTTTGCTGATACCCATTGTGAACCGGAACCATAAATTGCAAAATGGCTATTACCAAAAAAACAAACAGAAATTGAGGTGGTTGATTCCAATGTTCCCGAGATGGCCTTGTTTTCATGGTCCTTTGGAACGAATTCGACACATACGAGGCTATGGTGCGAATCAATTTCGCTTCAACTCTTTGCCAGGCCTGGATAGATTGAAACTGTGGGGTGGCGTCCGGTGAGGATGGGACATGGAATGATTTTGGAAAAGACAACATACTAGACTAGTTGAATGAGTTTTATAGTTTGCACTCATGTCCATGCTGTTCATTTGCTGATCAGTCAGTACAACCAACTAATGATGTTCACATGATAGTCACTAGTAATTAACATTGACATGATGACCCCAGTGCCTCGTGCTGGCTCCGACGCTTAAATCGCGGATTCAAATTGTACTTCTTTTCGACATGTGCCAAACCTTCCTGCATATGGGTTGTGGGCTCTGCAATGGTTGGTGTGTTGCATGGGAATCAATCAAACTTAATGATCAGAATTCGAAGATATACAGATTCCTCAAACTGATGAGTCACTCATACTGACTATTTTTGTACAATCCAGTCCTCAACCTCGTATTTCGTGGGCAGGTCTCCAGCAAAAACTGACAAGTATTTGGCCGTGAAGTTGTAGTTGATCTCCTTTTCAACCTCCGAAGAGCTTCAACTGGTTCATAAAGAAATAACAAAATTTAGATTATTCACTGGAACATTTATTTTTTGTTTATTCTTTTTGATCTAACATTCAACTCATGATTTGAATAGTTATAATTTCAGATAGTAGAGAATAATCCTGATTAAGATTGTTCATTATAAATATTAATTTTATAAAATATAATATAATATGTAATAATAATATAAACATATATTTAAAATAATATAATATTATATTAATATTTAATAAAATATAATATAATATAATATATTAATTATTAAAATGATATAATATAATATACTATACTATAATAAAATAATATATATTATAATATAATATAATATAATATAAAATATATAATTAATATAATATAATATTATATTATATTATTATAATATATTAATATTAAAAAATATTTTATATTATATAATTTAATATTATATTATATTATATTATTACAATAGAGTATATAGGACAAAAGATGAAAAAAGCTGGAGATCTGGCCTCTGCCTCCCCCACACTCTCCGCTCCGATGAGGTCCACGAAGGAAAATACCTTCCATGGGCCATGGAAGAATACCACATATTAAAATGTCTCAAAGGTCAGGACTGAATGAACTGACAAATTTACATTGAAAAAATCACGATTCAAAATCGATTTGCTATGAAATCATGTCAGTGACCTGCCTTATTTCCCTGTTTTTTTTTGATGTCAGCCCTTCTTCCTTCGATGTACCCGTCAGTAGAGCACAGCTCATTGAAGAAGTCCTTTCAAGTCAAAAAAAGAAGGTGGAAAGGTTTGCTTTCGAAGCCATGATGTCCATCCATTCCTTCATGAACGCATGTTCTTTTTGGCACCCACGAATCCTAGATTTAATGCACAATGGAAACCTATATATATGAGATTAGTTTTTTTTTCCCCGATTGGTCATCCCCAACCGGTTGCACATACCACCCCGCCACTGTCCTTCAGCATGTCCACCCTTGCCAGGTCCATTCGGCTTTGACGACGTTGCACCGGCATTGCATCAAGACGGGCGGAGGGGTAGGAAAAAAACAAAAGGATGTTCAAACAGTTCAAACAGCTATGTTGATGATTGTTTAATGTCGTTGAAGACCATGCTTCCTTTTAAGGTGTAGAAGCATGAATTAACATTGTCATATTAGGCTTATTTTAAAAAGATGGCTGTAACATCCACGGTCCACTGTAATATCATGTATGATCTATGTTGTTCAAGTATGACCCAGCTGCAGGGAGTGCATCCAAGTTGTTGGTGCAAGAGGGATTCCCCCAAAAAATGGCCGCTGCGGAGGGACAACAAATTATGATGCATATCTGCCAGATGTTGGAACCCTGTGTGCATGAGGTATGCATGCACGCACCCAATCCAAGTTTATAAGCATTAAGTAGATCAATCTTCCTTCTGAACATCCTTATGGGTCATTGATAATGGGTATTATTTTTTCTAGTTTACATATTCGGCATTTAATTCAGTCCCATGCTGGGTGGGAAACGTACCTTCATGACGTGGTACCACGTCACTGTCAGAATCGCCATAGTTTTCATCTTCATGTCCTGTCGGCATCGCCGCGTAAAAATCAACAAAGCCAGTGGAACTTGTTCAGAAACTTGTTGTGAAATTTGGTTGAAACTAGAAATCAATACAAGAAAGTCCTGAATCTCGAGTACATCACAATCAAAGCACGTGGGTTCAAAGCCTTGACTTCCCACTGGACCCGGACATGCTCCTTGTAGGCATTGCTTTCGCTTTGGCATTTTGAAGTAGCATCACCTCAAAAAGAGCGACACAATAGCTTGGAAGGGTCAACTATTGTTGCCTCAGTTGAAACAAAAGATAGAATCCGGAAAGTGGATAAATTAAAAACACCGTTATAAGCCTTGAACACGGCTAGCAAAGTTTTAGGGAACCAAATGGCTTTAGTGGCCGGGCTCACCTTCATACCACCCTCAACAGTTTAAGGCCCTCACCTTCACATCCAAGGTTTTTGCGCAGAAAGACGATGTGGAGCACATAGCAGCACATGGGGGCAGCGAGGATAAAAAAGCAACAATGAGCGCTTCACAGTGCATCAAATCACTGGGAGATAACTAGCATCTTAAGATCCCTAAAAAGAGATAAGAAATTGGGCCATGATAAGGCATGCCATCACATGATGCATTGTGACCCATCATGATTGTTCAATATCGTTCGGGAACCTCCAGTGTGAGCCGCTGGAATAGGCAAAGTTCGGTCGCCCACGGCAAAGTTCAGTCTTTCTCTAGCAACGAAACTTTGCCTAGTAGTTGACCCCCTGGGTATATATATATATGTACAATTGTGTATATATATATATATGTGGATAGGGAGTTTCTTAAAATGGAGATCCCCAAAACCATGGGGTTTCAATACTAAAATTGTCTAGTTTTGGATGATTTGGGGTACCCGCTATTGTAGGAACCTCTTTATATACTGTTCTATAATGGTTATCGGATTTTCATAGGGGTTTTATTTGCAACTAAGTTCGTCAGCTTAGTTGGTTTACTTCACTAAGATTTCACTAGAATTGATGGGATTTATCATGATTTATCTATATATACATATATATATATATAGTTGACCTGTGTTTATCAGTGATTTTTTGGTGGGCATTTCGATGTACCCCCGGAAAAAAAAAAAAACGGGCGGGACGCTGGGAAATCAGCGACCTGCCATGGATGGCTGGAGGGGAGGTCAAGAGACTTTCTAGTGTTGATAGTAGATGTTCTATTAGCCTATGCTGGATTTTGTATCCACTGACGAAGTACTTCTTTCGCCATGTTTTGGGCGGAGAGAAACCAAGCAGCGATGGGCAACGAAAGCAACTTTTATGGAGAGATCTTGCTGGATGAATTATAACGACCTCACTGCCACTTCGAATGATGGCTAGAGATGGCTATAATTGGTCACTTCCAAATTAGGACAAGCATTTCTGGTTGGTGAATCATTGAATCATATTGAATCATGACAAATTGTGATAATTCATCCAGATATGGATAATTGATATTCCATTCACTCAGGCTGCGAGGCTGCGAGGATCTTAAGATTCTTTTGTGATGAATCCGGCTGGGCTTTTCGACATGGATACCATGGGTTTTGCCGGTTTTGCTTGTAGTGGTTAAGGTTGGATCTTCAAGATGATATTTTCTGAGTCCTAGTCCAAATCGATTTGAGACAGACCTAGTTATATGTTATCTAGTTTTAAGAACATATAAGAACATATTCAAATATAGTATCTGTTTCTATCATATTCAGTATTATTCAGTCTATACCGTCTATACCTAAGAATCCTAAGATTCAAGTTACAAAAACAGAACATTCACCGCAAACTCCTTCATTTTAATCACCCATCACCCTTATTGACGCCCAGCTGGGTTTAGCAACGGCGGCGCTGGGATGGCCGTCAGGACGTAGAGATACACTACTTCAAGATGGCCACCGATGTCGCCATGGAATTAGCGGATTATCGACGCTTTTTTGAACGACAGCGAGACGTCGACGATCTGATGTGTTGATGTTTTTTTTCTGTTGGGGAATTGTTATACTAAGGTTACGTAAGGTTACTATACTTTAATAAATGTATAAACATGTTAGATATAGATGTAGATATTTAGAACTTGAATCCGCAGTAGCCACCCGAAACATGAGGCTCGAATAAGGCAAATGTCTCTGAGGCCTTTTAACCACCTAGAAATACGCCATGGACCCGGACTCGACTCCTCGAGGATCATCACTTTGCCATGGATATTCATGGTATCCCATGTCTGGATTCTCAACGCCAGAAAAACATCAGAAAATCTCATGCTTTCGCAAATTTGTCGCAGGCAATAACTCCGACCCCTATGCTCTGAAGTCTCTGGGTCTTGAAGGAAACCTTCACCCTTCTCCGATCTTCGTAGATGTGGGCGCCAACTTGGGCCTAGTCAGCATCTCTTTAGCCAAGCAGTGGCCCTTTGCACGGATCCTGGCGCTGGAACCGGCACCTGCTACTTTTCGATATTTGCTATGGAACCTGAAAGAGAATCAAGTGACATCCCAGGCGCAACATGAATGGGCTTTGGTGACCCTGGTGGTTGTGGAGAAATTGTGGGTGTGGAAACATGCGCATGTTCGTGCAATGTTGGGAGGCCACTGTGGTTTCTCAAGAGACTTGTGCCCTGGGAGGAAGCAAACATGCTTTTGCAAGAAGAGAGTCATATTGGTTTTGCATCCCCAATTTGGGCTTAAGTCCCTCATTTTTGTCGCTTAAATCCAGCATTTCGACTGTTAGATCCTCCATGACCTCAATGTTTGATCGCCAGGTCCCCGAATTATGAATCTGTAACTGCCCACTGTTGGTATCTGTTGGTATATGTTGTATACTGCATACAACATATACACATATATAATTGTCTATTTACACATATCTCCATAGATACCACTGACACGAATCCTAGAACATATCCCACTAGAACGTAACGGTTAACTCATTGTCCCCACATAGTTGCCATCCAATAAAATAATTCTATTAGTACAAACGCCTACATATCTCGGACATATATATATATATACATATACATATACATATACATCTACATATACAGACACATACACACATACACACATACACACATACATACATACATACATACATACATACATACATACATACATACATACATACATACATACATACATACATACATACATACGACATACATGCATACATGCATGCATGCATACATACATACATACATAATTACAATCTATCCTATACCTGGAACCCAAATGACTCCTTTGCATGGTGTTGAACATTAAGCTCCCATTTGATGGCTTAAAACCTTCAAAGCAAATGTCACAGGTAATTACATAATAATGTATATATATACATACATCTAACCCCCACTGACTATACCTATAATTAGCATTAACCCAAGTGAATTATCAGTGAAGAAAATCCAATGATTTAGCTCCCCGCGACACAACCCTAGTGAAATATGAGCAAAACCAACTTAGCAAAAAAGCTGGGACAATACTTGAGGGCTTGGGGGGTGCAGTTGGGGTTCAAAATGAGTATATATGTATATATATATATATATACATATGGGGGTTTCCATAAATGGTGGATCCTCAAAACGCTTGGTTTTAATGGAAAACCCTATTAACATGGATGATTTAGGGGTATCCCCATTTCAGGAAACCTCCATATATATAACCTTTGCTATAACCTTGGTAAGTTGAGATATAATCCCTGCAACCTCAACTGCCGAAGTAGGTCACCAGCCTTGATACTGGCTGGTAGGGATTCCTCTAATGGATATTCTTCAATGCTGGTGACATCTACCAAACATAATTAATCAATTATTGTTCTATGCGTTTGATACAGAAAACCGCATAAATCCATATAAATACTCTATCAATCTCCGAACAAAATCATCATCACCATCATCACCATCACCATCATCATCATCATCATCATCATCACCATCATCATCACCAGCATCATCATCATCATCCTCATCATCATCATCATCATCATCATCCTCATCCTCATCCTCATCCTCATCCCATCCTCCAAGCATCCAATCATCCAATCAGTTCTCAATGCCATCATGTTCTATCCACTTTTATTTCCATAGATGCCATCCATCCAACATGTTTTGACTCCTAATCAAATCATCCACCGGCCAGGTGTGGCCCATCAACCTGGCCATCTCTAGCGATTCCTCGCTTCGCCTGTCCACCACGGCCGCGGGCGGCGTGTGGACCGCCCGCGTCCGGCCCGACGCTACGGTGGCACCGGCGGGCAGCGACTACGTCTTCGATGCACCGGCGGCGTCCTTGGCGGTGACCTGGTGATTTTTCAATTGGGGAAGTACCCTCTGGTTGTTGAACCTGGCGAATTGGAAAAATTGAAAAATCTATAAAAACTCTATTTTTAATAGGTAAATCATATGTTAAATCATCATGTTGATCATCTATAAGTGGGCCATTTGCCATTGTTATGTGAAATAACCAAAGGGTACACAAGGGAAAATGATGGAACATCATGGAGAATTATGGAAACATGACAGATCATGTGATGAAATAAATTGAAATGTGTTTATTTTTTGATTATGATGTGGCGTACAATTTGAGAAGTTAAACAACTCACATGGGCAAATCTGCTCGGACGTATGGCCCTTGGGCGATGAGTAAGATTCAAATAAATGATTTTGAAGGAATTGACCACCAAATCTATTGCTAGGTTTCTTGGAAAGTGATGAAAACATGGTGTTCAACCAACCATGCTCTGGAGGATATAATGGCGTGGGGTATAAAGCCTAATAACCCAGAATAAGTGGGGAAAATAGATAGGTAATGGGTTGGTAGAAGATACATTTTCCATCACTTTCCACGTGTTCCTTGGGAAAAAAAACACGATGCACTGTTTTGTTGTTTACCGTAATTTGCGCGTTTATATATATATATACCATTTAGTTTCCCCCCAGAACTAGTGACGTTGTTGGTTTTGTTGACCTCCGACTCCATGTTGGATGGTTTGGTATGTTTGGATGCTTATCATTAAAATCTCAGATTCCAAGTCGCGAATTCAGCACCATTTTCCATATTTCCCTAGATTCCAGATTGCCATCTGAGGAGATTTTGGCATCGCTGGGTTTGGGGGCCATAGATCTGTTAAAGATCGACTGTGAAGGCTGCGAATGGGAGATTTTGGATCGATGGGATTTGTTGAATCACCTCTTTGGTCATGTTTCGCTGGAGCTTCACAATCGAGCTTTGGTTCAGTAAAATGGCCACATGTCAGATTTTTGTGGGTTGATGATTAAATTATATGATCAAACAGCAACAACAATTTAACAACAATGCTTTTCAATACATTCTCACCATTTCTTCATCCCACGTCTTCATCATATTTTTTTTTTTGAATGGGAACAGGTCCATATATTTCCCCATGTTCCAATGTTCCAAGGAAGTTTTGTGAAGCTGGTGGGCGTGGAAGAGAAACGACGTGCCGAGCTGGAGGCGAAGGTCTTCAACAGTCAGCTCTGCAGGATCAAAGAGGAAGATCCCGCGGGTTTGAAGTGTCGATCCTATGGTGCTTGAGTGGTGCAACAAAAACAACTTGGGAAGACACAACTGGGAAAGATGTTTTTGGGATGGCCGTGTGTCAATTGATCTATGATATTTCTTTGGAGATCATTTTGATGTTTGATATGTGGTTCATGATGTTTCCGATGTGTGACACCATGAACCACGTGACATCACGGACGTTGAATCCTGGACCGCCGAATCCATGGAACAGTGAAAGACCTGGTCCCCGAAGCCCAAGGGTCAACTGCAATTACAATCAAATCTGATTGGTGGTTTGGAACATTTGATTATTTTTCCATATATTTCCCATCATATTGGGAATCATCATCCCAACTGACTTTCACTCCATCATTTTTCAGAGGGGTGGCTCAACCACCAACCAGAAATGTGTTGTGGTATCGAAGTTCTCTCACTCGAGCCACTTTGAATTCATCTCAGTGGATATCAGTTAACTATGGATGATGTATATGGCCCTAATTACTATGGATGTGTTTTTCATGTTTTTCATGTTGTGCCCATTGGTGCTACACCAGCACCGGGCTAGTTGTATCTCCATTGGGGGTATCGTTCCAACCACAAATGCTGGTCATTCCTTGTGGTAAAACTGATGGTTCAAACCACCCTAAATGGGGAGGAACATATAGTTATAGTATCTTATAGTCACACCGGGTTCATTCATGTTGTATCTATATATATATATATCCACACATACTCCAACAAGTATCCCATAAAGTATCATTACTGCCCCATCCGTTTACATCAGTTACACCCCTATTCCATCGCCCCCTAAATATGTGCGAAATTATAGTGACCTCACTGTGACCTCACTGGAATCGGGGAATTATCCCCAAATGGCCGCAAGTTTCAGATTAGCGATTTTGTTTTACTTACCCAGAAATATGTGCGTGGAATATTAATGGTTATAATCAATAATGGAATCTATCATCAGTATTTATGGACATGGAATATTACTCATCAATTCTTCACATTGATATAGTTTCTATATATACATATAATTATATATATACATGTATAGTTACTATACATATAGTTAGTTACTCTGGTTAGTATATATAATTATATGTATAACTACGTTACATGTTACTCTGGTTACTATAGTTTAGTATACATTATATAGTATAATTTCTATATAGTTACTCTGATTAGTATAGTTACAATCCATTGCTGTTCATCTCCACGGTCAACAAAAACCCAGGTCCCGGCCGAGTGGTTGAGCCCTGTGATGGGCGACAGCGATGTCTCCGATGTCTACGGGGTGCGACCTGGGGATGAATACTGTGCATACTGCATATGTACTTGTTTTTATTTGTTTTATGCCATGTATACATACTGTATCTGCGTCTATCTGCTATGTCATAAAAAGATAAATCCTAAATACATAGATACATAGATAAATATACAGACATTAAAAGAGTAAATAAATATCGATCAATCGTAAAAGAATTAATTACGTCACTCTCGTGAGGCCATTGGTGTTTGGCCTGCCGCATTCGTCGCTGCAGAGGCGACCCCACCCCTGGGACCGGAAACGTTGAAGTCTTTGCGAGCTGGAAAATCACCATTTTTAATAGATAGATAGGTAAAATATGGTAAAATCTAATTGAAATACCTGCGCCATGTTTATTGGAAAAATTGAAAACATCTATAAAATCTCTATGTTTAATAGGTAAATCATCATATTTATCATCTAGAAATGGGCCATTTTCCATAGCTATGTTTAAAACAATATTGTAGATGGTCATCATGTTTATCCCTTCCCCCTATGACACACTCCCCAGAAACCATGGTGGAGGTTTTGATATTAGGGGGATGGGATCATCAAAAGTTGGGATTCACCCGGAAAAAATTGGGTAAATGATCTTGAAATGATGGCAACATAATATATACCCATTTCATGAGTTTGGCTCCAATAGTGGGTGAATCCCAACTTTTGATGATCATGAACAGTAGTGATTTATCGGAGTTTAAGAACCAGTTGGTTCCATTGTGGGAGTTGATATCAAGCAGTAAAGAGGATTACAGAGGTGGACTTGTGTGTCCAGCCATTTTAATCATGGGGATACTACCAGCCCCCCAATTGTGATCACCCCAAGAAAAATAGTTGGCTAAAATTTCTTGGTGGTAAATAAGCAGATGTCATTTCCAGTCTTCGGCGAAATTTTGGCAGTTTGGCCATAAATACATCATGTACCAAGTAGATCAACACACTGTAACTTACCCCTTGAAAGAATTTGCAAGATAGAACTACGTAGCATCATGAAATCTTATGGTGGTAAAACATCGGCAAGTTGTGTTTCATGATGATTTGATGATTTTTGTATATTTTTGTGATGATTTGAACGCTACTTCTTGGCTAAATTGCTGAGGCTATGTTGATGTTTGTTAAGTTTGGTCCCCATTGTGGGACAGATGATGTACCCCTCAGCATCTCCATGCGGCAAGGAGGTGATGAAGTATGTGGGGGATCCCGACCATGGTTCGTGGGTGCCGAATAGAGCTCATACCAAGCAAAAGTCCTGAAAATGGGGATGCCGCAAGTCTATGATATATAATCATATATATATATATATACGTATGTATATACACATACATACATGCAGTATGTGTATATATATATATAATTATATATGTACTATGTACATAGAATGTTTGATTTTGTTGTGTTTCTATTGTTGTTTCATTATCATCATGTCTTATTGTTCCTGCTGGGTCCTTGTGGCATGTCAAAGCTAGTTCTTGTAACAAATGTTTCACCATTTTAACAAGATTTGAGCAGTATTCAAAACCCCTCTTGGTTGATGATAAGTACAGGGGTTCTTAACATACCCTTTAGATTCAGATATTGGGGATTACCATAGTCCATGAACTGAGAAATCCCGTTCTTAACCAATTATCAAGTTATTGTCCAATTGTTGGAAATATTATATTGGTCCATCATTATCAAGTTATTATCATGAGAATTACAGTATCCTATTAAGAACCTATCGTTCTTATCCTATTATGATTATGAAAGTTGTTATTCCTATATATTATATATTGTTATATTTTCATCATTATCGGCGGTAGCAACTCTTCGCAGATTTCCTGGGGGTCCATGAAAAAGAAGGTCCGTTTCGTGCGAGAAGTTACAGGTTCCGGGCAAAAGTCGTGTTCTGTGCGTAATCATAACCTATTAACTATTAGACTATTAGCAATATATTTTAATATTACCCATCCATGTGTGGTATATATGCTAACATAAAAGGGGGTATATTGATGGGATCCATGGCACACCATATATAGCAGAACCATGGATCCGTCATGGGTTATATAATATGACATGCTATTAACCAGCCAGCTATTAACCATATATGGTATAAGATGTTCATATACCATTAACCTATGGGTTACCATATATAGCATGTCCTACATGGATCCTATGTTAAAAATATTGTATAATTGGAACATGCTATTAACCAGCCAGCTTCTCAAGATCCTTGTGGAATCGCCAAGGCCGGCGAAAAAAAAGGGGGCGACTGGAGTTGCTTGGAATTGGGCTGCGGTGCTGGCTTTCCGTGCGGGGCACCCATGGGACAGGCTTGACATTACTGAAAACCCATGGAAAACTAAGGGAAAACCATGGAAAACTGGAGGAAAACATAGAAAACCCAGGCTGAACTTTGAGCAACACCAAATATTTGTGGGCAACATTCCTTGGAAATCGTGGGATGTAACAAACCATAATTGGGATCTAACTGACCATGTGCCGGGTGTCATCCGTGTCACATTTATTTGCCATAGTTTTCTGGGTATCCTCCAGTTTTGGAGTGGACTGCGATGTTCATCCAGGAAACAACGATGGAAATCCTAGCGCTGCTTCATTCATTGGAACATACTGTCTTAAAAAAAAAAAACACAAAACAAAACAAACGCCTCTTAGTTCCTAGATAAAATACCACTGGGCCCATTAGTTTCCTTGATTTTCATGGGAAATTGATTCATGATGATCCATGTTTGTAAGATTCAAGATGATTCTATTCCATGTTCATTGTTTTATCGCTTTAATCTCGCTGAAAAAACATATTCTGGCCCGGTATAAGATCCAAGTTCAACATTCTGATTTGCCATACTCCTGGGTTACTGTAACAGATCCGATGGTTTATTTTGTTCATACAGTTTATGAAATATCATCATTATTAACCATTGGTTATTAACCATTGGTTATCAACACTGATTAACCACTATTAACAATGGTTAAGACCACCAAGCAGCTGAGTGAAAAACAGTCACGGGACCCCTGGATTACCCTTAGGTCCCGCAGCTCCAAATTTGTAGAATCCAACGGCTGGTATGCTCTGAGTCGTGGTGGACCCAAAAAAAAGAGTCCCCTTAAGTAGCTTTGCTTGGTAAAATATACCATGAAATCATATTAAATCCCCATTAAATCATATTAAATCTGCATTAAATATCATTAAATCATATATTAAATCTCCATTAAATCGTATGAATCAAAAATGAAATCTCATTCAATCCCCTTTATGCCCATTAAATCCCATCTACCATGGGAAAGTATGCGCATCTCATCTAATTACCATGTGGGTCTGAAAATTTAGGGCCAAACCTTTGAACTGGCGGTCTGTCCCTATTTTATCCCGTGAATCCTCGATTTTCGTTACTCTCATTTACCTTCACTACAATTTTCTTGTAGTATTGGTGATATATATATATACTATTATATACTACACCTTATCCCATATGAATATCATAATATCCCACTACGGGATCTTCCAGTCATTGCATGATCTGAGACTTAAATCCCTATGTTTCATACTATCAACCTTCACCAAACGGATATCAACGGAGTTTAATCCATCCCATTCTATTAGCATCTTCCCAGTATTTTCCCATGTTATCCCCATTTGTTCCCAACAAAAAACAACATCTGACTGACGATGACTAAGACGAGGTCCCTTGTGGCGGCCAAGCGCGGTGCTGCCTCGGTGTACGCCTTGGATACGGAGCAGTTGACCCTGGAGCCTCGGAGGAAGTTCGGGAATTTCTTACGCCGAACATGTCCAATACCCTCTGGTAAACATACAAAAAGCTATTGAAAATGGCCATAGAAATAGTGGATTTTCCCATTAAAAATGGGTGGATCTTTCCATACGTTAAATTACCAGAGGGTAGAACTCTCACATACCTGGTCTGGGTAAATTATAACTCACTACGACCGAGCCCTGGAAATCATGGTTAGGATTCGGGAAATCATCCCCTTTTATGGCCTTTAATTCAGGTTAGTGAAATACTATAATTTACCCAGATACCTAAACTAAGTTCCATATCTAAGTCCTAAGTCCTTTGATATCCTTAGTGCATAGCTGGCATAGCTATGCTATTCAATGCTGATTTTAAGATATTTTAAGTAACACTACAGTAATATGAGAATTTCCAGCAAAAACTAGGGGGGTATAATGATGTATACTGTATAGTTGATGATGTATTCATGGTGATAAAAACACGGAGATCTTGCGCACCTTGTGAGGTCACTGGAATGATACGATTCGGGGTTCGCGAGCTGTGGAGCTGTGACCAATGCAGTCACCGGGTGACATTCCGGGTAAGCCAAGAATCATGTATGACTGTACAATACTGTACAACTGTATAACCCAAAATTTGAGTCGAAATTCAAAACCTGACCATATTACCGTTTTCCAGTGTCCCACATCTTTCAGGGCTACCCGGCTATGCCATTCAGGACCTTTTGCAAGCTGCCTTTGATCAACAAGGCCAGGTGCAAGGTCATGGTGATTTGGAAGGAACCCAATGTTTATTTGCACTTGAAGAAAATATTGGTAGAGGATATCAACAATTCATGATGTTGTCTTTTCACAAAATCAGCAAAGATGTTTTTGTTTGACATCATGGGTATTTATCTCCCATGAAGGATCCATGGTGCTGGTATATATATATGCTAATATAAGGGGGGTATTTCTTGATGGGATCCATGGCACACCATATATAGCAGCACCATGGATCAACATCAATCCATTGGGATGTTCGATAGCAGAGTTTCCGACGAGATCGTGATTTTCTAAACCGGAAGGGTTGCCAAAGGACAATCAACCGTGACTGGCTGAGAAATCCTGTGTAAATGGAGGTTTATAGCTGGGACAATAATTTATAGTTGGTGGATGTTCTATTGCATATTCTTTTTGTGACTTTGCTGATATCCCCACACTATCTCCATTATTTGTGACTTTGGTACCTAAGCGATTGGTCATGTTGGCATAATTGGATAGATATCCCCAACTGTTCCTGGTATTTCCCGTTGATCATAGCCTCATAGCCTCATGTTTTTGGAGAAAAAAAACGGTACAGACACCCCCAATTTTTACGAGATACTATTTTTTTGTTTACAATACTTGTTGGCTAGTTATCTTAGTTGTTACCCATAATTGTCCATAATCCAACAATTATCATCGCCACTAATATATCAAATCGATTACACCGTGTTACACTCTTTTCGTTGTTTATTTGTTGTGTGTTAGTGGTAAACAAAATGTTTGACACAGTTGGACTGTTCTCCTCAGTTGGAGCCAGATACGGAGATATGGAACCAGTTTTACCTTTGAACATTTCCCATGGGGTAGTGAAAAATACATGTTGATCCTACACATGGGCGATTTTTCACCCAAAAGGGTGCAGTTGGTTGAATTCCCATGAAGTTTCGATCTGTTCAATATTTGGCATGTCTTGAAACGGCACGGCGTTTCCCAGCCTATTTTAACATTCATGATTCAACCCTGAGGTAACTTCACCTGTGGAAAAGCCATGAAACGCCATGGTTTCCTTAGGACACCAGAAATGGTGGGATTTTCTCCGCAGGTCAGGGGCGTTTGATCCCGTTACTTGGCGATGCCCAGGATCTTCCCCAGGACCTCGTCAAAGTCGTGGAATGGCTTGGATTTTTTGGGGGGCCCCATGTTAGGAAACCTCCGTAGATGATAGATGAACATGATGATTGAACAAGTGACTAATGAACAGGAATGGCTTGGATGTGATGCGTTTGAAGATGGATTATCAAAAAAATACACAGTCATATGAATGGGGAAAATGATGATGAAACGGCGGATTTAGGGGTACCATATTTTGATCCAAACTCAGTTTGTGTTGTTGCCATTTTGAAGTTGAAAGGTATGATGTGATATTTTTTTGTCATGATTAAACTTAGACGGACGGCCCTTTATTCACTTTTGATATATGAGATCTAATCAGTGATATATACATATATAATATATATAATTATATATATTCAATGATATACAATGGTTTACAGTGATATATAATGATATTTCATGACAGACAATGATATTGTTTTTTTGTTGCAAGTGATACTTAAGTCTTGGTTCCTGCTGAAGCTGGTGATCTGAGATTCGTTGGGCAACCGATGGTCCGATCCCATTGTGGCTTCACCAGGTCGCGACCAGTCACTGGGATGCCTGAGATCACTGAAATTTCAAATAGGCTAACTGTCCAGTTATGTGATGTATGTGATATGTATATCATATATATATATATTTATATTATATATATATATCCCAGAGTTGCCATGGTCATGGGGAAGGTTGAGTTGTTGTTTTTTTTTTTTACCAGGGGATTTGGGGCTGTCCTATCTTGACCTCATTTGGCTTGAGCCCTGCAGGAACCCCTCTCCTCCGTCCCCTTGGTGGTTGTGAGCGTCACTGAACTCAATCCCTGGCACGGAGTGGGGCTGTCGTGTATCCATTTCCAAATTTGGAATCATTTTGTTAAAGTAAACCTTGAAAGGTTGGGATACACCCTGAAAAATATCGATTCAACGATGGTTGAGTGCGGTAAATCCAAGCATAAAGCTCCTATTGGGGATGGCTATGTACTACCTCTGGCAAAAAGGTGTCAGGAGTATATTGGCCAAGTCCTGGATTGCGGCTGCGGCCGTTACCAGGACCTAACTTTTGGGGTTGTCCGACATGGGTATGGATCAATACCTATTAATACCATTTTTAGGGGGATGAACATCCATTTACCAGCTATTTTGATGTTCACCAGGGGTACAAGGTTTTGACACACTGCCACATGAAAAAGAGATCCAACTTGGAAAAACTCCATGAATGCATCTAGAGTTTAAATCGGACATGGTTGCATGCGTGAATACCAAGGATGCCATAGATTGCCATTGAAATACCATAAAAAGATGATAAACATTGATGACGAACCACAACTAGCAGCTATTTTCATGGTTTCTCTGAAAATAGTCGGTACCTCAAAATTTGACTTCAAAATGCTTTCTTTCGAAGGGTTCATGATATTTTATGATCATGTAGTATATAACTGTGATATAACTGTTATATAACACTTATATCATAAAATTACCATACATTTACCATGATATTTCACAACTTTCCCCTCATGGTTTTCCATATTCGTTTCCAATGGGTAACTTTCGCATCCAATTGTTCCCAGGATTTGCTCTACAGTGTTCCATTGGGCCGAGCCCTAGGCGCTGGTGGGGATGATCCATATCTGGTTGGTGGTGACTGGAACATGGCTGATATATGACTTCCCCTGAAAAAAGCTGGGATGATTTTTTCCAATCTGACGAACTCATATTCATATTTTTCAGAGGGATTGAAACCACCAACTAGATATACTGTACTATATTTATATATATATATATATAAATATGTAATCCGTTTTAATCCATGATAATCCATGCATAGCAAAATAGCGACGTTAACTTTGCTAAGTGGTGAATAATATGGCGAATAGTGGTGAATCATAATGATGAATAATAGTGATTACTGGTGATTCTTGGGGTTGCAATCATGGTAAAGACCATGTTGGCAACCCAATGCCAGAAACAACTACCCATAAAAATGGTGATGACTTGGGGATTGTTCATGGCGTTGCCAAGGGATCTCATAATATACTATCATCTTACTAGTAAGAAATAGTAAGACATAGTAAGACATAGTAAGACATGTAAGACATAGAAGACATAGTAAGACATAGTAAGACATAGTAAGACATAGTAAGACATTATGCATCATCTTGAATCCGTCGCATCAAAAAAGGCCCGGCCATTGTTTTCTCAGACCAGACTTCCCCAACAGAGGGAGAATGTTGGTGTATCACTGTATCAATCTGTATCACTATCACAAATTCTTCTCCAAGAATCATTTGGACAGACCTTGGTTCAAACCTGGATTGGGTAGATATACCTGATGCGTTTTGGAAATGGTTGGCGATTGCTATCAAAGACTGGCCATGGATGTTTTCTTTGCAACTCCAGTATATAAGGCTGTTAAGATGGCATGTAGAGCAGGATTTGGACACACGCATTTGCACACAGGATGATGTCAGTAAGACATACCCCAGCAGTCTGGTCTAAACATGTCTAGCGCCCCATCGCCAGGCGAAAGTTTGGCCAAGTGGCTCAAGGGACAGGTGGGGAAGATTGGTCTGTTGGCAGCTGATTTCAGGGAAATTCAGGGAAATACGATGTATGTATACACACATATATATATAATATTATGTATATAGATATATATAGATACATATTTGTAGCAATTGATGGGACATGGTGTATATATGATCTATCTATATCTATATCTATCTATACCTATGTCTATGACATCTAATAAAATAATATCTAAGATGTATATATGTATATAGATAGATAGCAATCCCCCAGTACAGAGTTAGGAAAGAGCTGCCCAGTGGGGCAAGCAGGGAGAGATGCGAAAGGTGGCTTTCCTTGAACTGTGCCTTTCCATAGTGTCAGGATATGGCCAATTCATAGGATATGACTACGCTGGATAACCCAGGACTCACTTTCGCAGACAGATTTTGGAATTCAAGGAACCTAGCTGAGCCGCTGCAGATGCAACAATGAGCGTCAGCAATAAAATATCGATCCCAAAAAAAGATCCGGACATACCTTGGAAACACTGTTCGGCACCTGGCGATCATCGCCATGACAATCCCTGGTAGCTGGGGGTCCATGGTCGGAATCCATCCATAGGTGGTTGGTGCCATCCTGTACCCCATAAGATACATCCGCATGTGGTGATTTATGCAGGGACCAAAGTCTCTCATTTTGATCAAACTTCTCAGTTTGATTGGTTAAACCTTCCCATTTACAACACTGGTTAAGCACTCACTTTCACTACTAAGATCATTATTGTCATAGGTTAAAACATGTTAAACACTGTTGTTAGTCGAGAATCTTGTTTCTTTTGTTGAGATCCTCATTTTCATATGATTTGGTGGTTCATTTCACATGTTTACTGTTCGCTTTTTGATTGATGAACACCTCATGTTTATGTTTGAAACCTTTTGAAACTCCCATGTTTGTTGGTTAAATTCTCATTGGTTGAATCCCCATGTGTGTTGCTTAACGGTTAAACTTCCACGTCTCTGATCCAGGAGCGCAAGCTGATCTTGACGGACGGCGGGCGGTCGGGACGTTGGGCATTTCTGGAGGTGGGACGAAACGGCGAAACATCCATGGTCCAAGAAAGAACTACCTGGGGAAATATCATGAACTATATATAATTATATATATATATAGTGCCCCCTCGGTTATGTGTGTTGCTATTATAAAGCCCATGAAGTAATGCTAAGTATAGGTATATAATGGTATATAGTCCTATAAATGATAGTGAAATTGGAGTTATCAACCAACTTCAACACATAGAAGTTTCCTAAGTCATGGAGGTACCCCCAAATCAAGTCATTAGACTATAAATCAGCATTGAAACCCATGGTGACCCAATATGGGAGGGATGACTGTAAACCGTATGCCGTTGTAAGCCATTTAAGGTGTGTCTGAAAATTAGGTATACCGAAAACCCCCCAAAATGGCAATGTTCAGGGAACAACACGACCAACCGACTCAATGGAAATTGGGGTAATTACCGTATTTTCGGCCAAACCTACATTATGAAACATATTTGTTTGGTTGCTTTCTTGGCGTTCTTTGTCGTTCTAAAGCCCGGAACAAACAACGAAATTCACTTGGTTCCTGAGTTTTTTGTTTTCCATTTTGGCTGTTTGCTCCTTATTTGGGGGGGAAGCTTGAACACCCGAACCGCTCTTTCTGCTTTTCGTCAACGTAGTTCCCAGAATCTGTTTGTTTGGGAACATTGAAACCGGAAAGCCCGAAATTTGAGTGCAAAATTGCCATCAGTTCCCGTGTATCTTTACTTTAAAATAGTAAGTAATATTAATCCGTTGAATTTTGGTGGGTTTGTTGGCATTGTTTGTGGAGAAGAGTCAAAAGCTGAAGCAGGATTTCTTCTCACCAGCAAAGTATGAGGTAAACCATTGATTTTCAGCCAAGGAATATGATATGGATAATCCGTCCCTCCTAGAAATCATGGTTGAATATTGTATTTGTTCATTTCGGGCCCACGGGGGTATTCAAACAATCATTAGGGGCCATGCGATTGCAGAAATCTCCAGAAAACGTAGCATTCACCGCCAAGGCGTTCAGTGAAGCGCATGGCTCTCAAGCCTACTTCGAAGATGTGACAGGGACTCAGTGAAATTCTCGGGCTGGTCAATACCAGACCAGAGCGTACCATAAATGTACTGATGCATACATTGGTGACGTCTCAGATCAGATTGGACTAGATCTTTAGGAGAAATATGATATTCTATGATTGGGTTTATGTGTAAGACCATATTATAGACATATTATATTTATTTGTGTTATTGATTATATATATATATATATTGTACGTAGATGTAAGAGATACAGATGATATGGATATGATATTTTTCATTCGCCCTATTTCGTACAAACATTTTAGACCTATAAAATGCTCACATCAGATACATATATGCATATATACAAAAATACATATATTATACATATATACATATATACATATATACACAGTTACATATATACATATATATATATATACATATATACATATATACATGTATAATTACATATATACATATATACATGTATAATTACATATATACATATATATATATATATACATATAAATATATACACATATACACATATATACGTATATATATATGTATATATATATATATGAATAGATAAATACATATGTATACATATATATATGTATATATATATATAAATCAATACATATGTATACATATATATGTATACATATGTATACATATACATATATATATATATATATATACATATGTATACATATACATATACATATATATATACATATGTATACATATATATATATATTTAGATCTGTATATATATAGGTATACATATATATATATACCTATATATATACATATGTATATATATACATGTATACATATACATGTATACATATATACACATGTACTTATTTACATATATACATATATTCATATATTCAATTATTGTATACATATATACATATACACATTTATACATATTTACATATATACATATATACATACATATATATATATGTATATATATATATATTTGCATATTTTGCATATTGTACATATTATACATATTAGACATGTTAAACATATTAAACATATTATACATGTTAAACGTATTATTTGAAGGAAGTTTAGAAGTCAAGCTTCCGACAATATGGACAGATGAAAAAAGCAGAGCAGGGCAGAGGCAGAGAGAAGAGAAAGATTAGAAGAGAGAAGAGTAGAAGAGAAAGAGTCAGAAGAAAGAAGATGCAGATGCGCGAAAAGGTAGGAAAGTCGCGAAACACTCTGTTTTTTCCAATGATTTGTGGCTCCGGAGGGTCGAAAAGTAGGCTCGCTCAAGCGGCGGGTGCGGAGCCAGCTGGCCAGATGAGAGATGAAAAATTGCACGCCGTTGTGGCGCGAAGCAGATTTTGAAGTGAAAAGGTACAAAGCACCTGGGTCTCGGACCACTTTTGGAAGCTGAGATGTCGGAAAAGCGCACGCCGTTGTGGCGCGAAGCACATTTCCAAGTCAAAATGTACAAAACATACCATTCTCGGACCACTTTTGGAAGTTGCGATGTCGAAAAAGTGCACAACGTTGTGGCACGAAGCACATTTCGAAATCAAAATGTACAAAACACCTCAGCCTCGGACCACTTTTGGAAGTTGAGATGTGGAAAAAGTGCACGCTGTTGTGGCGCCAAGCACATTTCGAAGTGAAAATGGACAAAACAGTACATGTCCGCGCCACTTTTGGAGGTTCAGATGTCAAAAAAGTGCCCGCCGTTGTGGCGCGAAGCACATTTCGAAGTCAAACTGTTAAAAACACCAGAGTTTCGGACCACTTTTGGAGGTTCAGATGTCGCTTCACTACACTACATTATACTACACTACACTCCACTACACTGCACTGCACTACACTACACTGCATTACACAACACTACAACTACAACTACACTCCACTACACTCCACTACACTCCACTACACTCCACTACACTCCACTACACTAAATCACACTACACTACATTACACTACACTACATTACACTACATTCCACTACACTCCACTACACTACATTACACTACACTACATTACACTGAATGACACTGCACCACAGATAGACAGGTCGACAGATAGATAGATAGATAGATAGAAAGATAGATAGATAGATAGAGATAGATCGATAGATAGATAGATAGGTACTTAGATGAAAGAGAGAGAGAGAGATAGATAGATAGATGGATGGATAGATAGATAGATAGGTAGATAGATAGATAGAGAGATAGATAGATGAATAGATAGATAGATAGATAGGTAGATAGATAGATAGATAGGTACTTAGATGAAAGAGAGAGAGAGAGATAGATAGATAGATAGATAGATACATAGAAGATAGGTTGGTAGGTGGGTAGATAGTCAGAGAAAGAAAGAGAAAGAGAGGAGACCTCAAGCACCTTTCGGTCCATCAGCGGATTCGCTCTGCCATCCCTGGTTCACAACAACCAATCTCTCCTATAGCTTTCCTATTTTTGAAACTTCCGCCACCGCCTTGTGCGGTACTACTGGTACATATTATATATACTATACAACTATAAGCGATATGCTTGTCAAGTATGGATTTATTGTACAAAGATTTACCTGTAGATATTTATATATATATACATATAAAATTATTCAATAATAGTTTTTGTTTTTTGCAATTTCGTCCCTCAGCAGTGGTAGCAAAATACTGCAGTAAGACAGCTGGATGGATCATATACTATATAATAATGGTCATTAACATTGGACAATATTAGATACATAATCAGATATTGTCTCAGGACCACAAGGAACCACACATAGAGAAGAGCTATGGACCTCAACAGCTACATATCATATATCAAACAAAAATATTGCCCAGGATTAAATAACATAGATGTCGAAAACCAATGGCTTCCGGAGAAAATGATCTACATTCATGTTATTTTCTTCCACATCGAACTGTTTACCCTAAAATATATTTAAGATTATACCTTGAATCTAGATGAACATACATACATGCATACATACATGCATACATACATACATACATACACTCATACATACATTCATACATTCATACATTCATACAATTATATATATATAAATATATATATAAATACATCATATACAAGTACATGGACGGTATACCTCTACATTTCCCCAGATTTCCCCATGGTTTTGGGGATCCCCCCTTTAAAGAACCCCCCCCGTCCCTCCGACGCGAGGCCCGTCCCTCCCTGGGCACCTCAGAAGGGTGACTTCTTCGACGGCAGCGAGACGGCCACTGTGGGTCTTCTGCGGTGCCCCCGCGATGTGTCCACTAGAGAAATGGTAGGGAAATTTAAGGAAAGCCTATACATATATATATATATATTCCCTTCCTCCTAATACCAAACGCCCCGCCAAATACTAAAAACAGGCGTCCATATCCAGAAAATTTCAGATTGGCCAATTTGATTTTTAATCGATCCCCTTTAGAAAACAATTTAAAAATCAACCTACCATTTGTGGGTTCCCCCCCCTAATACTAAAAACTAGTTCACGCCGGGGTGTTTAGTATTAGGGGGGCCTAGTCCCAATCCCTCACTCCAAGCTGCCTAGCTACTCTAGCAATTAGGGGTAAGCTTCTAACTGCCATTTTTGGCAATATTTTAATTGCGCTATATAAGGAAATTTAATTGATTTTGAGATCGGAAAAAATAGTTTTTAGTATTAAGGGTTTTAATTTAGTATTAGGGGTAAGCTTCGAACTGCCATTTTTGGCAATATTTTAATTGCGTTATATAAAGAAATTTAATTGATTTTGAGATCGGAAAAAATAGTTTTTAGTATTAAGGGTTTTAATTTAGTATTAGGGGTAAGCTTCGAACTGCCATTTTTGGCAATATTTTAATTGCGTTATATAAAGAAATTTAATTGATTTTGAGATCGGAAAAAATAGTTTTTAGTATTAAGGGTCTTAATTTAATATTAGGGGGAAGTTTCGAAATCCAATTTTTGGTCATATTTTAATTGCGTTATATAAAGAAACTTAATTGATTTTGAGATCGGAAAAATAATTTTATTATTGAGGGTTTTAATTTAATATTAGGGGGAAGCTTCGAAATCCAATTTTTTGCAATATTTTAATTGCGTTATATAAAGAAACTTAATTGGTTTTGAGATCGGAAAAATTAGTTCTTATTATTAAAGGTTTAATTTCATTAATAGGGTTCCCTAATAATAAATACCTCCCTAATACTAAAAACTACCTGCCGTGTTTAGTAATAGGGGGGGCGGCGTTTAGTATTAGGAGGAAGGGATTATATAGCAACTATAAATATGAAATGGATTGAACTGGTGTAGTATCACTTTTTGACCAAAGGTTCTTGATGGATTATTAGATGGAATTAGATATCGCATTTTTCTATCTAATACCCCTTTTTTAGTAGGTTTAACCACTATAAAATGGGAATTGGTTAATCTACATCTGCTCTAATCACACGAATTAGGGAAGGGTCTTGGAGTCTTGGACCTTGGAACATGATTGGTCTGCAACCCCAAGCATCTATAAATAGGCGTTACTCTAAATGGAAATTGGCTGGAATTGCTTTATTGATGTTTGGAAAATCTATATAATGGGATATCAACGATGGTATATCCTAGGGATAGAATTTGTTATACCTTTGATTTTAAAGCAACTAAAACTATAATTAACTCAATAGTTAGTAATAACGATAGAATATACGTAGGGATTCAGCTACCCCCTCCAAAACTGACCCACAACAAGGGATTGTTGAGTGGCAAAATCAAGCACGAAGCACCACCACTATCTTTGGGCGAATCTTAACCATCTACTGAGGATCAAAACTTGTTTCAGAGTGATTTGTCGGAACATGGGAACCGATGGGATAACTATACTAATAGTGGTATTATGATAAATATGGGATAACTATGATATTATGAGTTTCCGATATAACTATACTTGTTGGATTTTTGTTTCAGAGTTGGAAAGCATTCATGAAAAACCATGAACTATGGGAGAATGTCCAGTCGAGGTTCCCTTCCTTGAACAAGAGTCCAAGAGGTCTGGACGATACATTTCGATGATTCACTGGATAACCGTCACACTTATCTGGTCTTAGCTGTATAGGTGTACCGCATCATATATTTTGAGACAGCCCCACAGATTATTGACTACAGGGTATCCGTTGGGGTACTAGCAGACATTGAGTTTAACTATGTGTGTTGCTTGCATTTTCTGGTTTCCCTTGAATCTCTTAGGTCCTTAAGTTGTGCAGTGAACTGTTCGAACAAATCCCATCGGAGATGGACAAAATTGCCGGGAATTGTTGTGTTGTTGTATTATGTAGATTATGTAGAAAAGCTGTCAATGATATTCTTAGTTTGACCGTTGTGTGGGGAAATCGATGCCTATGAGGCCTATGAGGCCTATGAGCCTAAGATATCCTAAGACTCGGGGTGCCAATGATTGCTCCCAATAGTACCACCATTGGTATTGATTAGTGTTGTTGTTGTAATTATATTAGTCGTAGCCATAGTATCAGCAGGGATTCCCAGCATATGCAAGGACAATGACCATGAATTTGGGGGATGCTGCAATCATGAAATTTGATTTAGATGGATCATGAAAAGCAAGTTGAAAGCTTGCGTCAAATTATGGTTATTCAAATGGGGTATAGGTCAATACTGTTACGTATTGTTACCATATGACTGGGAGCATCAACATCCATTAACCAGCGATTTTCTAGGCTTGGGAACTGCGGCGGCAGGTACTGAGCTTGGCTTCACTGAGCAAGAGCCTGCGCAACTGTTGAATTAGATGGTTATGGATCGATCAGAAATTAGATATAGCACTAGTTATATATATATGCTTATATATATATACAAACAATTATATACATATCACTATTTATCTATGCCACTATCTATGTATACCACTATAATTGCAGGTAAACAATCACTAGAGATGAAATAGAGAACTGGCCATTTGATGCAATAGGTCCTTTGCTAGGTGGCAAAAATCCTCTGGTGAAACTGTAGGCTGAGAGCTGCGGTATCATGTGTTCCGAGTCTCATTTGATCTCATTTGGACTGAAGTAGCCAAAGTCGCTACGGATTGATTGGTTAAAAAAAGGACTCTTGACTGGTTTGCCTCATTACCCTTCAGTAATCAAACATGGCGGTGGAAAATCCATTTACAGATGATTGTCCAATCAAAACCTCCATTTATAGGAGATGTCTCCTGGAAACTGCACACTTCTAGAGAAGTCATGTTGATCCCCGATCGCTGTCCTTTTGGGTGTTTTATTCGGGGAGGGGTCTTTTTTTTGTAGCCATGAAGGTCCTCTTGTGGTGGTAACCCTCTTGATCAACAAGGGTTCACATTATTTGTCCAGGCCAGGACTTTGGGATGCTATGGTAAGCCGTGAGAGAGCTTATTCCTCCTTGGAATGATGTAGGAATAGTGGTGCTTCAAAATGCGAAGCGCCTTTTTTTGCGGTATAGTCAGTCTTTACCTCCAGCAGCAAAGTTCGGAACAGTGGTGGTGGTGTTGGTGTTGGTGGTGTTGTGGTTTTTGTTGTTGTTTTTGTTGCTGTTGTTGTTGTTGTTGCTGTTGCTGCTGTTGTTGTTGTTGCTGTTGCTGTTGCTGTTGCTGCTGTTGCTGTTGCTGTTGCTGTTGCTGGTGTTGTTGTTGTTGTTCCCGCATAGATTGGGATTTGGTTTGAAGGTCAAATTTTGAGGCAACAAAAATATATCTTGTGGCATGGGCTTGTGACATTTCGATGCGCCAGTCCCAACTTCATGTTTCACGTCGCCCTGTGGAAAGTTTGTTGTGGCTCCATTGCGGGCATTGCGGGCGGCAGTGGCAGCTGATCTGCGATTGGTCCCAACATGTCCCAACACTTTTTTGGGATCCAAAGAAATGACATGGAAGTTCTAGGTAAACCCACATCATGGAATAGTAGGATTCCCATGGATTCCCAACAGCTAAATCCTCATCTAGACAATGATAGGATCACTTCCTCTTTCTTGATTCGTGGAAGCGGCCTCCTACAAATGATACGTAGTGAAAATCTCCACTGAGAAAAACGAGAAATCACCTTGAGCAAACCCAGGAGTTTTGGGGGAATAGAAGGAGTCCTATTGTCAACATCAAGGGTCCTTGCTTTTTTTAGTGCAACTAGCTTCCTTGGACATAGTGAAGTCCCACTTTGTAGCACAGCTGTCCTAGCTTATCAAAACCCCAGAAGAATGTGGGTATGGGTGAAACTTATCACGCACAATGTATGATCAATGCCTGTTAATTCAAGACAACTAGAAACAATAACAAGATGCATGGGTCCGTTGGTACAGCAATTTTGATCCATTCCCAAATTTGGTTCACCGCACTTTTTGGGAGGTGGGAGGCAAAAGATGGAGATATACAAGATGGGTTTCTCCAGAAAGGGCGTATGCATAAGTTTTTTTTTTCAACTGGGAAACGAACACAAAAAATGCGGAATACTGTATGTGGAGTGAGTGCAATCAACTATATCCCAAATATGGCACAATATTTCAGCTCTGCGCTTTGGTTATAGATGGCCATTGCATGCCATTGTGTAGCTTGGAAAATCTCGGCATATAGGACTCATGTCTATGGCATCGGCATCGGCACTTGTTGAAGGGAAACCCTCCAGGAAAGCCTATATTAAGGGAAAGGTTAAAGCCTACAGTTGGGGTAAAGCCGATAGTTTCCTGGAACATGTTCCACCCATTAAATGATTGGACCCCTCTCATGGTCTCATCAGGGGCTCCCTGGGTCCCTTGGAAGTCCTATCCCTCAACCCACTAGAGTCACTAGACTGGTTGGTGGTTTTAAACATTTTTTCCATAATATATGGAATAATCGTTCCCATTGACGAACTCATGTTTTTCAAGATGGTTATTGCACCACCAACCAGTAGAGTATGTTGGATATTTCAACCCAATCCATCCCATTCACTTCAATACCAAGTAGCCTCTGGTGATCGAACTTGACATGATGAGAAATCCTATGGGATTCTCCATTGCCATGTTTGATCAACGGAGGGTTGTATGCATTTCTTGGATCTTTGCATTATTCAGTATCCTGAAGAATTCCAAATGTAGAACCTCAATCATATGAGGCTTTCCATAAATGTGGGTATCTCAAAATGGTTGGTTGAGAATGGACAATTCATCTATAAATGAATGATTTAAGGGTAGCCCTATTTTAGGAAACGTCCATATAACCCATATTATTTATCCCAATATACCCTCTGGCAATCCAACATAGCTAGGCAAGCATTTCGATCATAAATCGCAATTAGAAACCTGGTTGGTGGTTTGGAACATTTTTTATTTTTCCATATATTGGGAACTATACTCCCATTTGACTAATATTTTTCAGAGGGGTTTAAGCCACCAACCAGAAACGATGATGAGCACCTGGTCGCACTGCGAAGCTTTTCGAGCCGCGAGGTCATTCCGCGAAACATGACTGACTTTGAGCAGCATGGCAGATGATGTGCCGATGATGGGGACTTCAGTATTTCCCTAAATGGATGGCGTATTCCAATGGTTCAAAAAAAAACGTCTGACTTGGATGATTTGGCATCCAACTGGACCAAATATCGGGAGTGAAAACCATTCTTTACCAACCAAGCTTGGGGATGCTTTTTGGTCCATGCAAATCTTTGGCCTAATCTTCCAGTGAAAATACACGGATGACCGATGCAGAAGCGTCCATTTATGGCTATGAACAGAATCCCAAACTCCCGCAGGTTTGCCCAAAGTTTCATAAACGTGGTTTTTGCTATACTGTGAGGGGACATGTGCAGAAGCTGTTTCGAATCAAAGGGGAAGCTCCACTTTCGGTGTCCGCAAGAAACCATGCTAACCTCTTGCGCTGTAGCAGCGTGCCACCTTTGCAACGCTTATGTCAGAGAGTTGTCTTGCGCGCATCTCGGGAGAAGCGTGCCATGCATGTGGCCTGCACTTGTCGGCGTGCTTTCCGTCCATGCGCTTTGGACTATACTATTATAGTAATTATACGGCCAAGCGCGAAAAGGAACGCAATCCCTTATTTACATTTGAATCAGGGGCGTAATCGGGACGTACGAGGGGCGTAATCACAATGAGGAGGGCGTAATCCTTTATTTACATTCGGGGTTGATGGGCGTAATCGGGACGTACGAGGGAAGTATCACAGATGGGATGGGCGTAATCCTTTATATACATGCGTGTGGGGGGGAGCAGGGAGGATGTTGTTTCGGGTAGCATTGTATCCCAGCGCTTCCAAGGGATAGGCTTACTGAGTCCGTTATCACAAAGGACAGGTCTGACTAAAAGGCAACAACTTACCCATGTTACAGGAAATTATGGAAATCGGAAACATCCAGAACCATATTAATTAGTCCGTGCTTTTCACGGCCTTTTCACTAACTTTTCACGGGCTTTTCACGTTTATTAGGATAAACCTAGGCGTTTTGTCTGGGTGAGTTTGTGGTGTCCTTTGAAGCTCTGGGTATCCTTAACCAGATTGGAGTTCCACGTCCCTTGCCCAAACATAGTCCGTTGCCGCGGTTTCCTCACAGTTCGGCAAAGGAGAATGCGTCTGGTTGTCAGTCGGTTTGTGCCCAAACGACGCTGCCACCGGGGCCGCTTTTAGGCCACATAGGAAAAATGCATGCTTGACGGCGGGCCCTGACTCTATATGGCCGGATTTTTACGATCCAATTTTTGGACCGGCTTTCGGCTCCATTTTTAGGACCATGAAAAAGCAAACAGGAGCTGTTCAACGGGCCTGATGGTCCGGATTTAATCCATTTGCTGGCACAAGCCTTTCTTCTGTAAGCCGGCATGGACACACATCTGTATGATACTGTACTATAATTAATGGATTCCAGCAACAAGATGAATGACTTGGGTCCCCCTTGCGTGGCATAGCATCTGTTTTTCCCCTACCAAGTCTGGCAATGGCCAGATAATTCTGCTTGGTGTCAACTTGATGGAGCCAGAATCTTCATGGCTTGTTCTAGTCAGGGAAGAAACGTCATAACTTTCTGTATTGAAGCCTTGTTTCAATATGTTTCAGTGGTACCCGTACCCAGGATCCATGACAACTAGGGGAGTGGTTGTTTCAAGTTTGTTTCATCCCCATTCCTGAAATGCAACCTCGATGATAGCTTCGGCCGTGAGTGGCAAAGCAGTATGTGAACCTCCTGGTGAACCGCCTCTGCCGCGATCGATCCCAAGGCCGAACTCCTTTGCGGTCTCTGCCATTGGGCGACAAGCCAACTCGAAGAAGGCCACAGGGCGCGGCTCTGAACCCCCAGTGGAATATGGCACCTAGCGTCTGGCAGCAGAAGAATATTCAGTTTTAATAACATAATTATAGACATATACTTGCTATATTTAATATCTTTGAATAAAAATATGATTTAATGCTTTTTATAGTCTGCACAGGTCTCAATCGTAAATTTTTGGCAGCCCCATTGTCGTGAAAAAATCTGTGGGAGGGCACCTGATTCAAGGGATGGAAAGTCAGGCCCCCGGAAAGCTTGACTCCAAGTTACTCTTGAGAAGTCACAAGACCCTGGAAGCCACGATATTCAGCCAAAAGCTCACTTGTATGGATGAAGCACAAGAGATAGTGGAGTGATTCAGAATCGACCCTCTGTGTTGGTACTCGTATGGTTTGATTGCGTTTGGTTTGTCACATAGTTTGTTCAGGATGAAACGTTCTTATCATTTTTTGGGCATCCATGAGACCCTGAAGCATGTAAACAATCTTGATCCCTTCTCGTCC